CCCCAAAACCCCAAAACCCCATAGAGTTCGAATAGCTTGCATTAAGCTAAGAAGAATAAGATAAACTTTAAATTTATCTAGTGATTAGTAGATTTGTAATTTATTAAATATAATGGTTGCAATCAAATAAAGTATTAAGCTTATAGAGGAAATTTCTGATACTGATGATGTATGAGTTGAAATTGGGAAAATTGGAAAACCTTTGATAATCTTGGCAGAAAGCTAGTAGATATTTTAGGTTGACTATCCAAAGTTGAACTAAGAGTAGCCACCAAAGAATAAGACTGCAACTTTGAAGAAAAAGCTAACCGCGGTAATTTTATTGAAACATTACTATTTAGCCCGCTGTTCAAACTTCAACTCAGATTGATAAAACAGAAAAAATAGACTTAATTATGTGTGGAAGGAAGTGAAAGTAAGTGATTGACAACAAAAACGGAGAAGAGGAGAAAAAGGAAACTCCACGTAAAAATATTATAATGTTTATAATAATTAGCCAAAATCTAAAGCATTCCAATAAATAGCGAACTTATCTAGTTCTCTAAACAAAGCAAGAGTCCCTCTCATAGAAAAGACGATGGCTCTTATTAGTTTCTCTCTATTGATGAAGATAAGCACAAAGTTATTGAGCACTTGACATGGTCAAATGATATAGATGATCAGACTCCATATTAGATTAATTGTAACAGTGATAATTAACTTTAGTTATGGAAGGTAAGATTATTTAATAAGATTTGGAACTAATCCTAATAAATAATATAGTATTCCAATGAAAACTTAGTAAAAGAATAGAACATACAAAAATATATAAAAAATAAGGCAAGGAAAACTTTCTGTAAGTGTACAGATGGTTGCTAAACTCCTAAAAAATGCGCATGCTACAAATATAATAAATCATTGTTGAATAGGACCTATGAGGCTAAATATCATCATGATAACACGATGATTGCAATCCAAAACAGAGCTATCCAAAGAAACAATAAAACTCTAACTTTCAACGAATGCCATCCTAAGTGTGCATGTAATAAAGATCTTTGCCAAAATTTCTTGATGCATTCTGAGAATAAGCACAAGTGGAAAGGTGTAATCAAGCGTGTTAAAAAGTAGGCTACTCTTAAAGGAGTAAAACACGAAGCAGTAATGTGGGGCTTGTTTTCTTTGGAATTGATTCCAGCTGGTGCCTATGTTGTAGAATATGTAGGCGAAGTTATTACTGCCAAGGAAGGTGATAAAAGGGGGAAAATTTATGACCAGCAAGGAATGAGCTACTTATTTGACATGAATGACCCTGATGAATCAGATGATTATGACATGAAAGTTTAGGAAAGTGGTTACGGAGATTTTTTCCCTTTGTGTCTTGATGCAGCTTTCCTTGGAAATGAGAGTAGATTTGTAAATCACTGTTGTGATCCGAACCTCAAGCCTTTCAACATTGTCACAGAGATTGAAGGGCATACATACCACAAGATAGTCTTTTTTGCAACTAAGCATATCCTTCCAGGGTATTAAATATAAATTTATAAGTTTTAATAATATTTTAGAGAAGAGATGACCATTGACTATAAGTGGGATAAAAATCTACTTAATATTCCTAAGAATGTCCCTTGCCTTTGTGAAAAGTAAAAATGCAGGAAGTATTTGATAAGATCCTTTGAAGAGAAGCAGCATCAAGATAATTCAACTAACTAATCGAATACAGAGATCCAATCACCTTTAGTAGAACGAAGAAACTCACCTAATCTCTATGATTTTTTGCTGTCTGATACCCTCTCTGAAGATTCTAACCAGGTGAAAAAGAAGAGAATAAAGAAGAAGGTCTTTAAGATTCATAAGCAGCAACACAAGTCAAACAATTGTGAGAGTACCAAAATCTGACTTAACTTGATTTAGTTCCATAATTCAAGATAAATCTTGTCGTACAAGAATGTCCTATCAATTTGCATGAACTCAGATTATATTATGTTATTCCTTAGATTTAAAATTAAAATGATTTATTATTATTTAGTACTACCGCCTATCTCATATTATTTAAATTATTTCTCTATCTCCCTAGTCTTACCTATATCTCTCTCAAGGGGTTTTGGGGTTTTGGGGTTTTGGGG